TCTAGTGACATGAAACACTTAAGGACTCAGCTGGCTGTGGAAAAAAGATGCATTTTTTAAACATTTCCCCTCCAATGAGTGGGAAAGTTTAAAAATTAGTGTTGACAGATTGGCACACAGGATAGATTCAAACTTTAAGCATAAAAGTGTGTTGCCTAGTAGCAATTTAGATTCCAAATTCATGAGAAAATTAAACTTTTTCTACCTACAGTACAGTTTTAACATGTTAATATTTTTATTTTCATCCACCTGAACCTGGAAGGAAAACATGTGTTTCCTCTGCTGATATTTTTATTCCATTATTAATCTTTCTTCCAATGGCTAATATACTATATTTTAAAAATACCGTTTTGAGTAATAGAACATAAATTAAAACGATAACACTATTCCAAGTTGCCTGGATAACAACATTACTATACAGTAATTATACAGTTAGTTGTAACATTAAATTCTAGTTATAGCAGATTGATTTCTTGGCAATTATAAGTAAGAAGTATATAATTAGGAGAAGTATGTAATTACATCACCATTTGATTCAGCTCAAAAATGAACTTGCACATTTACAATGAGACAGACAACACAGCAGCTCAACATTTTTCATTGCTTCTAAAAAAAAGCCAAAGAGTACTTGCAAGTTTCCTAACCTAAATTTTACACAGACAAAAGGTGGTTTTATCCCTCTTCCAGGCCAAACCACTTACTGCTGCTGGCAAGGAAAATGTTAGAAGGACATTTTTAAAATGCAGGTCTTGCTGGGGCTGACTTGCAATTTGCAGCTTTGCCACTTCTCACTGCTTCACCTCAGCTTTCAGTGGGCTGGAAAATGCAGACACAGAGGTTCAGCCTGACAGACAGTGACACAGTGATAACCCTGTCACATCATTCCATGCCAGTCCTGCCCAGCCTGCCTCAGTGGGTACCCAATTGTGTTTTTCTCTCCATCCTGCTCACGGGTCCTACTGTAGCCTTACCAGCAAATCTGCTGCAGATCTAAACAGCAGGTGCCTCAGATACCAGGACAGTCCTAAAAGACATTGTTTACTTCAGACAAGTGGTTTGTACCAGAGCACCTCCTTGTTCCTGCACTCGGCCTTGTCATTGCTGCCAGGAACAGACACCAGCACTCCAACAAGCAAGGTCTCTGCACAACACAGGAACGACCTAAAGAGGCAGAAAACAAACTCCTAGAGCTGGTTCACCATGTCCTTCAACACTTCAGACATTGCAAACAACTGTACCAAAAGTTGAATTGGAAGGGGAGGAGGCTCAGAGCCACCATTTCCTGTAAGCTGTTAAAAAAGACTAAACCCTTTGCAGACGTGAAGGGCTTCCCGAAGCTCCTTCATCTTTCCATAGTTTTGCATTGTGATGGTTTTGTTCTTTTACTGAGCCTTCCCGCTCAGCTCTTCATAGCTCCCCCAAAGTATCTGAGGGCCTTCTTTCCCTAAGCCTGCTATTTGAGAAAAATCTCAGAAAAACTCTTCCCAGTTTATTTGTAGTTTATACCAGATCAAAGGATCTGTTTTTCAGGAAAAGATCCAAATGAAGAAATTAGGGCTAAAGAACATCCATATCCATACTTAAAAATTATCTATACTTGAAACCAAGAAATAAAACGTGCTTACATTAAAAAGACACACAAATACATATTCCATTCAAAATCACTGTTTAAAAGTCCTAAGTTTCAAACAGCACTGTCTGGTGAGTAGCTGTGTTTGACGGTTCAGAATGTTTTTGGGTGGACACTTTGCAGGGGGCTCCCAAGCAGATGTGCATTCCTGTCACTAAGCACCCCTGTAAAGAGGTGAATTAAGCTCCTGGGGGTCAGTGGGGCGTAAATCACCGCTGTCCTGGGTCACTCCGCCAGGTACCTGAGAGGTGCCAGCCAAGAACTGCGGCTCCTTCAAGAGTGTCCGCAGGGAAAAGCAGGAGCGGAGGGACCCCGCCAAGTGCCACCCGCCACCCCCCCGGGCAGGGCGGTCACACCGCGCCGGGGCCGCTCCCGGCGTGGCCCCAGCGCGGCGCGGGCTCCCTCCCACGGCTGAGGCGCCCGGCACGGTTTGGGGCAGGCGGCGTGCGGCGCTGGGCTGGGGGCGGGGAGCGGTACCTGCTCTTCCTCGCGGTGCGGAGAGAGCGGCTCCGGCGGGCAGAGTTCTGCCGAGCCCATGCGCGCCCGGCGACAAAAACCTCCGTGCGCCCCGCGGGGAACAGCAAAGGTTCCGGGGCCGACCCCGCGCACTCGGCGCGGGCGGGGACCGACAGTTCGCGCGTGCGCCGATCGAGGGCTTAAAGCCCCGCCCCGAGCTTATGAATATGCAGCAGGGCGGGACATTTGCATCCCCCGGCCCGGCGGGGCCGCCCATTGGTGGGGCGGCGGCCAATCGGGCGCCGGGGGCAGAGGGTGGGGGCGGGGTAGCGGCCTGAGGCGGCGGCGGCCGCCGGGGCAGAGCCCGGGCCGTGCCCGCGCCGCCGGACGGGCTGGGGGGGGCTGCCCGCGCTCCCTCCCTCCCTGTCCCTCCCTGCTCGCCTTCCCGCCCGGCCCCAACCTCGGCGGGTCCCTTGGCAGCTCCCGGGGAAGGATTGCCCGCAAAGGTAGGGGATTGACGTTTGCGGCGCCGCCGCCGCCGGTGGCGGAGTTTGGCCGGGGCGGCAGCCGGGCTCGGCTCCCGGCGCGCTGTCCCGGCCGCCGCTTCCCTGACCTTTGGAACTGCTCGGCGCCGGGGGAAAACAAACCATAATAACGCCAAGCCCAGCCTGCCAGAGCCTCCGGGTAACTCAGCTTTTCATTACCGTGCGAGTAGCTTTTGGGGAAAAGGGGAGGGGGCGGGCGGGCTGGAATTTGATTATGTACATATAATATGATATATAAAAACATAATTGTGTAATTAACTATTTAAAAATTTAAAGCCTCCTTTTCTACTTAGCTAAAAAAAAAAAAAAAGCCATTGCTAACAAAGCGAGCACTCAAATCCATTCCTTAACATCATGGGTGAAACTCTGAGCAAATACAGCTACGTGTGTTCCTGTACAGATTAGAGCTGCATCGTAACATATATATATATATATTTGGTATATCTACACCCTGTGCGAATATTTGGATGTTTAGATGTGTGTATTTAGATATAAGAAAGAGAAATAAAAGCTCCAGGGGGATGACATAAAGGTGGGCGGACAAGTCCCGTAATGGAACTCTGTGTGTGCAGCCTCATTTTCTCCTTCAGCGCCCACAGGAGAGGGGGCAAAAAGTGGAGGTTAGGACCCCAAAACTGTTCATGGGGGAAATTGGGGATTGAGGGGACAATGGGAAAGTGGGAGGAACAGGGAGAAGGGTGGAAAAGGGGGGGTGGTATGGCAGGTTCGACAGTCCCATGAGGGTCTTTGGGCACAGGAAAGCTGGGAAAGGGGGGTGGCCCCCCTGAGCTCCCAACTTCCTGTGGGGTGCTGGGGGCTGCTGGATCCAATCTCGGCCTTGTATTATGCCAACAGTTTCAGTTTAGAGGAATTACAGAGGTGTGACTGAACCACTTTTTTCCTCCAGGTTTTAATGATGGCAAATCAAATCTAACTAGAAATTAGTTATTTAGGGAGACAAACGATTAGACAAAGGACCTTCATCAGAATTATTTACTGCACAATATACACACTAAAACTACCAGTAGTACAGGATAAGACAGGACAGTGCTCTAGACTAAAGCAATTGTTGAATCTCCGGCCGCCTTCCCGGCACAGGCTGGGTCTTTCCTCCTCAGAGCACCCTGGGATGGCTTTGGAGCCCCTCCTGCGGGGGGATCTCCGACCCTTTTCCTCCCCGCTGCCTTCCTGCGCCGGGGAGCCCTTCAAAACGGCCTCTCCCACCAGGGAGAGGGATTTGTCAAGGGGGGATTTGTCCTCCGGGCTCTCTGTCCTCAGCTCGGGGCCTGGGGCAGGAGGGAAGAAGGGCGGGGAGGACCTGGGAGGACCCCGAGACCCCTGAAATTCCCCCCCTCAGAAGGCCGGGAGGGATTTTGGGGCAGCGGGGCCCGGGGGATGGGTGGGCGTGGCCCCCAGCCCTTCCTCCGGGGAAATTTTGGGTGGGCGTGGCCTCCCGGGGTCACTGGGCCGCGTCTCCTGTTTTTGGGGCCTCGGCAGGGACGGTGGGGGGATGAAGGGGGCTCCCCAAAATCGGAGGGCTCCCCCAAACTGGGGGGTCACGAGACCCCTGCTCATCCTCATCCTGCTCCTCGCAGGTAGGATTTGGGTCTGGGGGTATCAGTTTGAGTCTGGGGGTCTCAGTTTTGGTCTGGGGGGTCTCTGGGGTCTCAGTTTGGGTCAGGGGGTCTCAGGCTTTGGGTGTGGGGGTCTCAGGGGTCTCAGAGTTCGGGTCTGGGGGTCTCAGTTTGGGTCTGGGGTCTCTGTTTGGATCAGGGGGGCTTGGGGTTTGGGTCTGGGGGTCTGAGAGGTCTCAGGGTTTGAGTCTGGGGGGCTCAGGGGTCTCAGGGTTTGGGTCTGGGGGTCTCAGGGTTTGGGTCTTGGGGGTCTCAGCATCGGGTTTTCTCTCCCCCCCCTCCAGTATTTCCTGTCCCCAAACTGGGACAGGGAACCGAAACTGGGAGGGGGAAGGGGGAGAACTGAGAGGGGCTGGGGGGACCCCAATGACCTTCCGATGGGTCTAGGGGACCCCCAAAGACCCCGGGGGGACCCCCAATGACCCCTCACTGTTCTGGGAACTTCCAAAGACCCCCCTCCAGCAGGGACAGGGACCCCCAGTGACCCCCCCGGGGTCAGTCGCCCTCCGTGGGGGTTGGGGAGCTCCGGGGGACCCCCCATAACCCCCCTCTGTCCCCGCAGGCTCCCAGTGCTCCCAGACCCCCCCCGAAGGCTGCGCCCCGTGCCCGACCCCCTCCCCGCCTCCCCCCCCGGAGCCCTCCGAGACGCCGACCCCCGTGATCGTGACCACCGGGAGCCCCCCGAGCCCCTCCTGCTCCCCGGCCCCGCCCCGGGGGTGGCTCCGGGTGTGAGGGGGGCCCCCCTCCCGCGAGGGGCGCGTGGGGACCCCCCTGACCCTCGAGTGCCACTTCCGAGGCCCCCCCGACACCGCCCTGACCTGGCTCCAGGCGTGTCCCCCCGGGCTCGGGGAGGTCCCCCGGAGCTGCCCCTGGCCCCAGGAGGTGGTGGCCACCCGGGGGGGCCGCCGGATGGACCGGGTGGTGCGGAAAGGGGGGGGAAGCTCCACCCTGACCTTCCCCAAACTGTCCCACAACGACTCCGGGCTCTTCTTCTGCCGCGTGGAGTCCGGGGGGGAGACGGCCCAGAGCTGCGGCACCTTCGTCAGGGTCCGCGGTGAGTGGGGGGCGCGGGGGGGTCTCGGGGGGTCTTCTGTGACACCCCCGGTGCCCTCCAGACTGGCCCAGTATTTCCCAGTTCCTCCCAGTGTCCCCCTTGAGCCTCTCCCAGTATAACCCAGTCCATCCCAGTCCCCTCCCAGTATACCCCAGTGCTACCACGAGCCCCCCCAGTCTGTCCCAGTGCCCTGCAGTGCCCTCGGTCCATCCCAGTTACTCCCAGTATCCCCTTTGAGCCCCTCCCAGTGCCCCCCAGTCCCACTCCAGTCTGTCCCAGTCACTCCCAGTATCCCTCTTGAGTCCCTCCCAGTGCCCTCCCAGCATAACCCAGTGCCCTCCAGTCCCTCCCAGTATAACCCAGTGCCCTCCACTCCCTCCCAGTATAACCCAGTGCCCTCCCAGTATAACCTAGTGCCCTCCACTCCCTCCCAGTATAACTCAGTCCCTCCCAGTATAACCCAGTGCCCTCCACTCCCTGCCAGTATAACCCAGTACCCTCCCAGTATAGCCCAGTCCCTCCCAGTATAACCCAGTGTCCTCCAGCATAACCCAGTGCCCTCCCAGTGTATACCAGTCCCTCCCAGTATACTCCAGTCCCTCCCAGTATAACCCAGTCGCCACCAGTGCCCTCCACTCCCTCCCAGTCCTCGCCAGTGCCCTCCACTCCCTCCCAGTATAACCCAGTCCCTCCCAGTATAACCCAGTGTCCTCCAGTATAACCCAGTGCCCTCCCAGTATAACCCAGTCCCTCCCAGTGTAACCCAGTCCCTCCCAGTGTAACCCAGTCCCTCCCAGTGTAACCCAGTCGCCACCAGTGCCCTCCACTCCCTCCCAGTATAACCCAGTGCCCTCCCAGTATAACCCAGTCCCTCCCAGTGTAACCCAGTCCCTCCCAGTGTAACCCAGTCGCCACCAGTGCCCTCCACTCCTTCCCAGTATAACCCAGTGCCCTCCAGTCCTTCCCAGTATAACCCAGTCCCTCCCAGTGTAACCCAGTCCCTTCCAGTATAATCCAGTCCTCGCCAGTGCCCTCCACTCCCTCCCAGTATAACCCAGTCCCTCCCTGTATAACCCAGTGCCCTCCAGTGTAACCCAGTCCCTCCTAGTATACCCCAGTCCCTCCCAGTTACCCAGTCCCCATTCACGCAGAGCCGGTTCCCGCCCCGTTCCTGGCGCTGAGGGAGAGCACCAAGAACCGGATCCTGACGGCGCAGGGGGTGCTGCTGCTGCTCTGCTCAGCTGGGCCGGGGCTGCTGCTGCTGCTCAGGGTGGGACACTGGGACAAACTGGGACAACTGGGACAGGGGGACACCAGCTGGGACACTGGGACCCCCAATTGGACACTGGGACCCCCAGTTGGGACACTGGCGACACCAACTGGGACTTTGGGACCCCTAAATAGGACACTGGGGACACCAATTGGGACATTGGGGACACCAACTGGGACACTGGGACCCTCAACTGGGATGCTGGGGACACCAACTGGGACACTGGGACCCCCAGCTGAGATGCTGGGGACACCAACTGGGACATTGGGGACACCAGCTGGGGCATTGGGACCCCTAAATGGGACACTGGGGACACCAATTGGGACACTGGGGACATTAATTGAGACCCTGGGGACACCAGTTGCCCCTCAGGTCCCCTTAATTCCCCCCCGGGTAACCCCACTTTCCCCCGACACCCCCAACCCCCCTGGTACCCCCAATTCCCCCCTGGATGCCCCAAAACCCCCTCAACCCACCCATGCCCCCCCCAGTTCCCCCAAAATCCCCCCCAGTTCCCCCCAATCTCTTCCTGCCACCCCCAAATCCTCCCAGTCCTCCCCAGAGATACCCAACCCCCCCCCCCCCCGGCACCCCTAACCCCCCTGGCCCCCAACCCCCCCGCCACCCCAAAACCCCCCTGGTGCCCCCAAAACCCCCCTGGCCACCCCAAAACCCCCCTGTGCTCCCTTTCCCCCCCTTGGCCACCCCTAAATTCCCCCTAGTGCCCCTAAAACCCTCCTCTAGCCACCCCAAAACCCCCTGGTGCCCTGAAAACCCCTCCGGCCACCCCTAAATCCCCCTGGTCCCCCAACCCCCCCAGCCACCCCAACCCCCCCCCATGCCCTGTTCCCCCCCCCACAGAAGTGCTGGGCCAACGAGCAGCTGCTGCACCCCGAAAAAACCACATGCGAGGAGGAAAACCTCTACGAGGTGACGTCCTGGGGGGTCCCTTCACCTCAAAATCGTGCTGGGGGGGTCTATCACTCCCTAAACCCCCCCAAACCGATCGAAATCCTCCCCTTTCCCCGCTTTCAGGGGCTGAACCTGGACGAGTGTTCGATGTACGAGGACATTTCCCGGGGACCCTCCCCGGTGACTCCCAGCTGGAAAAGCCCTGAGGGACCCCCCGAAAAAGGGGGGTGGGACCCCCTGGGAAGGGGTTTGGGACCCCCTGGCTCTGCTTGGCCCCCCCCAGTGCTCTGCTCTGGTGACACAAGGCCATGCTGATCCCCCCCAAAATAAAGCTGCTGTGCTCCCGGAGGGGTTCTGTGGGTTTTGGGGGGTTAATTACTCATTAGTAATTAACGAGTGGTTAATTAATCAGCAGGGGGAGGCAGGTGAGAGCAGAGATGCCTCAGGGTCTGATCGGGGAAGTGGGGTCTTGGAGTGACCCCTGTTTTTCCCCTATTATCCCCCATTTTCCTTCTTCATCCCCTATTTCCCCCCTTTCCCCTCATTTTCCCTCATTATCCCCCATTTTCCCTCATTATCCCCCATTTTCCCTTCATTTCCCCAATTTTTTCCCATTATTCCCCATTTCCCACCATTATCCTCTATTTTCCCCTCACTCTCCCATTTTCCCTCACTTTCCCTCCATTATCCCCCCTTTTCCTCTCAAACACCCCTTTCCCTCCATTTCCCCCCCTTTTCAACCATTATCCCTCCTTTTCCCTCCATTATCCCATATTTCCCCCCATTGTTCCCCATTTCCCCATTATCCCACATTTCTCCCCTATTATTCCCCATTTTCCCTCATTATCTGACATTTTTTCCCTATTATCCACCATTTTACCCCATTATCCCCGTTATCTCACATTTCTTCCTCCTTATCTCCCATTTTCCCCTCACTATCCCCCATAATGTCCCATTTTCCCTCATTACCCCTTATTTCCCCCGTTTTCCTTCTATTTCCCCTCATTTTCCTGAATTTGCTCCCCATTATCCCCTATTTTCCCGCATTTCCTTCACATTTTCCCCCCATTTCCCCTTATTTTCCCCATTTTCCCCTCACTCTCCCCCATTTCCCTCCCCTTCTCCCCTATTTCACCTCATTTTACCCCATTTCCCCTCCTTATCCCTCATTATCCTCCATTTCTACCCCATTATCCCCCATTTTTTCCCATTTTCCCCCCATTATCCTCCACTAACCCCTATTTCCCACAATTCCCCCCATTCTCTCCCATTTCCCCCTCCCTCTCCTCCATTCCCCATTTTCCCTCATTTACCCCATTCTCCCCATTATCTCTCATTTTTGCCCTTTCTCCCCCATTCCTCCCATTTCCCCTCATTCTCCCCCCACTTTCTTCCCATTTCCCCACGTTTTCCTTCCATTTTTTCCCATTTCCCCCCATATCCCTCTGTTTCCCCCTCACTGTCCCATTTCCCCCCATTTCCCCGCTATTATCCCCCATTTCCCCCCATTTTCCTCCCATTATCCCCATTCCCCCCATTTCCTTCCCATTATCCCCCATTTTACCCCATTTCCCCCATTGTCCCCCATTTTACCTAATTTCCCCCATTATCCCCCATTTTCCCCTCACGCTCCCTCAGCCTCTCTTCCCCCTTCCCCCCCCCCGCCCTGCGTGCTCCTTTTCCCGCCTTTTCTCCCTCAGCCAATCAGCGCCGGTCTCACCGGCCCCTCGGCCAATCAGCGCCGAGCGTGGGAAATTGGAACCCCGATGGCGCGTGAGGGGGGAAATGGGGGGATTTGAGGGGGAACTGAGGAGGAATGGGGGGAATCTGAGGAGGAAATGGGGGGGAACTGGAGGTTCCTCAGGGTGCCGGGAGTGTCTCACGGGGGCAATGGGGGGGTGGGATCTGAGGGGGAATTGGCGGGTCCTGGGGGGCCAAGGGGGTCCTGGGGGAGAACCTGAGGGGAAAATGGAGGTCCTGGGGGGTCAGTGGGGATCTGGGGGGGTTAATGGGTGTCCAGGGGGGGCACCCAAAACCCCCTTTGTTCCAGCCTTTTCCCCTCCTGCCTGCACTGCCCCCCCTACCTGTGCTGCCCCCCTGCCTGCACTGCCGGGGGGGGGGGGAGCGCTGGAATATTTTCAGGGGACGCCTGGGGCCAAGGGTCCCTATAGGGCCCAGGACTGTCCCTATGGGGCTGAAGGGTCCCTATGGGGCCCAGGACTGTCCCTGCAAGGACAATGGATCCCTACAGGGCCCAGAAGCCCTATAGGTCCCTATGGGGCCAAGAGGTCTCTATAGGGCCAAGGGGTCCCTATAGGGCCCGGGACTGTCCCTATGGGGCTGAGGGGTCCCTATAGCACCTGGAAGTGTCTTTGCGAGGCCAATGGATCCCTATAGGGCCCAGGACCGTCCCTATAGGGCCAAGGAGTCCCTATAGGGCCCAGGACTGTCCCTATGGGGCTGAGGGGTCCCTATAGGGCCCAGAACCATCCTTGTGGGGCTGAGGGATCTCTATGGGGCAAAAGGCATCCCCTCCCCCCCATTTTGGGGGTCCCTCCCCTTATTTTGGGGTCCCCTCCTGGCCAGGCTCTGGCCCCTCCCCTTTTATTTTGGGGTCCCCCATTTAAGGGTCCCCCTTTTTTGGGCTCTTCCCCTCACACCTTTTTGGGGTGACAGCCCCAGTTTATGACCCCTCCCCTTTTTTTGAGGGGGGTCCCTGTCCCCCATTTCTCCCCTGTACCCCCAGTTTGGGGTCTCCCTCACCCATTTTGGGGGTCTCAGGCCCCATTTTTGGGGTCTCCCCCCAATTTTTGGGGTCTCTGGCCGCATTTTGGGGTCCCTCATTTTGGGGTCTCCCACCTTTTTGGGTGTCCCTCCCCATTTTAGGGGCTTTCCACCCCATTTTGGGGTCTCCCACCTTTTTGGAGTCCCCCCCCATATTGGGGTCCTCCCCTCATTTTGGGGTTCCCCTCTGCATTTTGGGGTCTCCCCCCCATATTGAGGTCCCCCTCCCATTTCAGGAGCCCTCCCCCATTTTGAGGGATTTCCACCCCATTTTGGGGTCCCCCTCTTTCACTTTATTTCCCCTCCCATTTCTTCCCCCCCTATTTCTGGGTCTCCCCTCCCATTTTGGGGGGTCCCCTCCCCCATTTCGGGTCCCAACTCCCCATTTTGGGGATGTCTCAGTTTCGGGGGGTCCGGGAGGGTCTCACACACCATTGCAGGCAGGGGGACACACCTCAAATTTACTGCACGGACACCACGGCACAGAACCAACCACGACACGAGAGGGGGGCCCGCGGGGGGGGGCAAGCGGGGGGTGAGAGACTCCAAAATGCCCCCCCAATCCTCCCTCAGCCCCCCCTTTACAACACGAACCCACCACAGCCTGGGGGGGGGAAGGGGCGACCACCCACCACCCCCTAAAAACCCCCCTCCCACCCCTGAGGCACCCCCCCTTTTTCCCATCATGCAACACTTTGGCCTCCTCCCCCCCTTTGCACCCCAAAATTTTCCCCCTGTCCCCCTCCTTCCCCCTCCCCTCCTCTCCCCCCAGAGCTCTTTTATGGCTTTTGGTCAGATTTAGGAGGGGGTTTGGGGGGTTTTGGTGCAGGGGGGGGCAGGGGGAGACCGGGGGTGTTTGGGGGGGGTCTGGTGACCCCCGGGCCCCCCTAAGTGAGGGTGATGAAGGCCGAGGCCTTTTCCTTCAGCTGCTTTTCTCCCTCAGCACGTCCCATGTAACCAACTGCTGGGCTTGCACCGCCTGTGCCAGGGGTAGAACCATCCCCGTAAGGTCACTTGGTCTGATCTGTCACAAACGCCGTGAAAACGTGGAACAGAAGCGTTCTCACAGCAGTGACTGTCCCCCTGGACTCAGCACTGGGGAGGCCACACGTCAAGTTCTGTGTCCAGTTCTGGACCCCTCAGTTTAGGAAGGACATTGAGGTGCTGCAGCAGGTCCAGAGAAGGGCAACAGAGCTGGTGAAGGATCTGCAGAGCATGTCCTGTGAGGAGCGGCTGAGGGAGCTGGGGGGGTTTAAGCTGCAGAAAAGGAGGCTCAGGGGAGACCTTGTCACTCTCTACAACCACCTTAAAGGAGGTTGTAGCCTGTGGGGATCGGCCTCTTCTCCCAGGCAACAAGTGACAGGACAACAGGACACAGTCTTAAGCTGTGCCAGGGGAGGTTTAGGGTGGACACGAGGAAGAATTTCTTCACTGAAAGCGTGATTAGACGTGGGAATGGACTGCCCAGGGAGGGGGTCGAGTCACTGTCCTTGGAGGTGTTTAGGAAACAACTGGATGTGGCCCTTGGTGCCACGATCTGGTTGACATGGTGGTGTTGGGTCATAGGTTGGACTTGATGATCTCAGAGGTCTTTTCCAACCTAATTAATTCTGTGATTCTGTGAACTGGGACATACTGGGAGCAACTGAGATCACGCTGGAGGTGACTGGGATCATACTGGGAGCGACTAGGACCCCACTGGGGGTGACTGGGAGTGGCTGTGAGCAACTGGGATCATGCTGGAAGCTACTGGGAGCAATCGGGAGTGAGTGGGGGCAAGTGGGATGTAGTGGGAGAGACCAAGAGTGACTAGGATCATACTGGGACTGACTGGGAGCATACTGGGAGTGACTGGGAGCATGCTGAGGTCAACTGGGACATACTGGGAGAGACTGAGAGTGACAGGGATCATACTGGGAGCTACTGGAGTCATAGTAGGGGTGAAGGGGAGCAACTGGAATCACACTGGGGCAACTGGGATCATACTGGGAACAGGTGGGCCTGTGCTGGGGTCATCCTGGGATCATACTGTGAGCAACTTGGACTATAAAGGGGGCAACTGGGAGTGACTGGATGTGCAGTGGGGTAACTGGGATTGACTGCGACCATGCTGGGGGAGGACTGGGATCATACTTGGATTAACAGGGTCTATGCTGGAGGCAACTGGGAGGAACTGGGACCATGCAGGGAGAAACTGCAATCATACTAGGATCATACTGGGATCATACTGGGATGCCCACAGCACCCCAAGCACCCCCTAATCTCACTCAGAGTCCACCCAGGACCCCACCCAACCCCTTTTCTGGGGGACTTCTCTGGGCACTGCTGGTGCTGGGAGCCCTCCTGGCTGCGGGCAAGGAGCTCTCGGGTGAGCGGGTGGTGGGAAGGGGGCGGTCGGTGGGAAAGGGGGGGTCAGAGGGGACAGAAGGGGTGGTGGGACCCCAAACTGAGTGGGACGGGAGTGGGACCCCCCACAAGTGGGGAATGTGTGGGATCAGGGCACTGCTTTGGGGCTGTGCTGGGAATTCCAGTGGATTAAAAGACAAACCCCAGGCGCTGTTTCCAAAGGAACCCCAATGAAAGGGGGACGCCGGAAAGATGGGCAGACAAGTCCCGCAATGGAACTCTGTGTGTGCAGCCTCATTTTCTCCTTCAGTGCCCATCTTTGGTGGCCCCGACGTGTGACCTCCTCTCTGGGACACTCTCCCAGTGCCCGCCACCAACAGAGGTGGGAAGTGCGGGCATTCATCCCGTGGGAACGGGACAGCGGAGCCCCCAGCACAGGAATCTGCGGAGCCCTGCAGGAACAACAGGGCAGGGAATTTCCCAAGAACACAGACTTTACTGGAAGATTTTACAACAGATCTTGAATGCAGCAGGACAGAAGGTTATGGCTGAGCAATAGGGATGAGCAATGAACATTTCCTTTGATGCAGCCGTGGAGAGTAACAGAGCCTGATGTAGGGACAAAGGGACAATGATGGCAATATTCTATTTCAATTTGGACACCTTGAAAATGCATCTTTTAGACTTGTTGGAGGACTGTCGCTTGGTACCTGTCGAAAGGCCTCGGTCCGAAGGGGGAAGAATCGACACACAAGACACATGAGGGTAGTGAGACAAAGAGATGTCTGCCTGCTCAGCGCAGCAGGCAGTCTTTTATGTAGTGCCAAGTCCCACTTTCCCATACACACACACTACAAACATTTTCCTACAAAACATCCAGGAATGCAGTTTGTTAAACAGCTCGACCTTGCACTGTCCAGCATTCAGGGCTGTTTCCATGAGAATGTGCAGTTATCTCTTACTTTTCTCAAGGGAATGGTCTTACTCCCTTTAACACCTCAAGCTCTTCTACTTCCAGGGGGCCCAGGGGTTCCATGGGCCTGCCATCTCCCCCCACAGAGGACATCTTCAGGGAGAAGGAGGATGTATTCCCTGCTGTTTGTATCTGCTCTGCTGCTCAGCCTATTGATATCCCCACTGATGGAGCTTTAGGGCCTCTGCTGAGGGCTCTGTCTTCTACCTTGACTCGTGGGAATCTCCCTCTGGGGGAGGGGTCTCTCTCCTGCCTTTAATGGTGCTCATTTTTCTCTGGTGGGGGTTTTCCACCCCCGTCCTTCCTCACGACGCTTTTGGGAAATGGGGCTGCTTTTGGCTGCGGCCGTGCCGGGGCCACGCCGGGGCTGGATGGCTGAAGAATGGACACACGGCCCTGGAACCGTTGGATCTCCTGGATAATTGAAGTGCCTCTAACGGAAGGTACATGGCCTGCCTGCCCCTCCCGCCAAGCACCAGCTCCATCTCCTGCTCCTGCCCAGCGGTTTTCCAGAAATCCAGAGCTCAGTGTGGATTGAACGCTATGGCAAGGGACAGGATAAAGTTGCTTTGCTTCCACCCTTGGTGTCTCAGTGTTTGTGATTTTGGGAATCCTCATGAACCTGGAACAATGCCAGATTATCTGTTGTGGTAAGATATGTACCTGGAGATTGTTTCGATATGTGTTTAAATCTTCCTTGAAAATACAACTGATAGAAAACAATGTAAAAAAAAAGGATAAGAAAAAAAATGAAAAAAAAATAAAAAGAGAAGAAGGAAGAAAAAGAGAAAAAGGAGAAAAAGGAGAAGAAAAGGAAGAAAAAACAGGAAAAAATGAGAAAAGAAGAAAAAAGAAAAAACAAAATAAGATAAAAGAAAGAGAAAGATAAAAGAAGAAAGTGGAAAAAGAAAGAAGAAAGAAAAAAGCAACAAAAAGAGAAAGAAAACAGAGAAAAAAAAAGTAAGCAGAAAAACAAAAAACCAAAAACGTCCTGTCCTCACTCCGGTCAAATGCAAATGGCCGCAATGACATCCAAGACTACAACTCCCGTGGTGCCTCGCGCAATACGGGGGCGTGGCGCTTGGCGTGTGGGGTCGTGACCGCGCGCTGATTGGCTGCGGCAGAGGTTTGTAACGGCGTTGCGCGCGCAGAGCGCCATGTTGGCTTCCGGGAGAAGATGGCGGCGGCGAGGCCTGCGCTACACTGTGTGAGCTGGCGGGGCCTGCGGGAGAGCGGGCCTCTGGGGATCCCCTCGGGGGCTGCGGGGAGCGCGGCTGCGGGTGGAAAGGCTGGAGGGCTCGGGAGGATTTAGCCAAGGGGTTCGGGGGTTCCCGAGGGTCAGAGCGCAGGCCTGGAACCAGCGCGGGGGGGGCAGGGGGGGGGGGCTTTACTAACGACCTCGCTGCACTGCGCAGTCGCGCCGGCGGAGTAGTCATGAGGAAACTTTAACTCCCATGAGGCTCTGCGCGATCCGCCATTACCTCTCCCACCACAGCGCCCTTGCCGGCCCGGCGAACCGACCCCAAGGAAAGGGGATCTTAATGCCCCCCCCCGAACCCCAGAGACCGCCAACACTCAGCGCACAGAGACCTCACAGGGAAGGGGTCCCGAGGGTCCCCTAAAGCCCAACAGTGGGGTTCACGGGATCTCCCAGCCCTCAGGGGAGGGGTCCTGGGGGTGCCCCCCAAAGTGCGGGGGGATGATGTACCACATCCGGGTAAGGGGATCCCAGTGCCCCCAGTATAGCCCAGTGACTGTCAGTACGGCCCAGTAACCCCCTCAGTGACCAACAGTGTGTCCAAGTGACCTCCCACTGCCCCCCAGTATGGCCCAGTGATCCTCCAGTGAGCACCCAGGAACCCCGAGTATGGCCCAGTAATCTGCCAGTCTCCCCCCATGTGTCCTGGTAATGCCTCAGTAACCCCCCAGTCCCTCCCAGTGCCCCCTGGTTCCCCGCAGTGTATCCCAGTATCCCCCAGTAATCACCCAGTGCCCTGCAAAGCCCCCCAGCTGTCCCCAACGTGTCCCCAGATGCCCTTGGCCTTTCTGTGAGTGTGGGGTGGAGAGGGGACGTTTTTGTGCTCAGAAGGTCCAGGGGGGGCTCCTGGAGTGAGATGGAGGGTTGGGGACATCAGGGATGGGTTTGGTTTGGGGACAGTGGGGAGGAGTTTGGGGACAGTGGAATTGGGGGCGTCAAGGGGGAAATTGGGGCCATGGGGAGGCCCTGGAGAAAATGGAGACACCGGGGGGGGGGTCTTGGGGTGTTAAGGAGGGAACTGGAGACACCAAGAGGGTCTTGGAGACACCAGGGGGGTCTGAGGACTCACCTGCTGGTGGTGCTGCCCATCCTCTCCCGCCCCAGGCCCATTTAACCCCCTCAAATATCCCCCAACCCCCCTTTTCCATTTAATCCTCTCCCCCCACAAATCCTTTTGACCTCCCAATGCCCCCAAGACCTCTTTTAACTTCCCTAAAGGCACCCAAAGCCCCCCTAAACCCCCTAAATCCCCATCCCACCCCTCCAGATCCCCCCAGATCTCCCGCAGCTCCCCCTCAAAGCCCTTCCACCCCCCCACAAAGAGGGATCACCCGGCACCGTGGGACAGGAACACAGTGGGCTGTACTGGGGGCAGTGGGCTGTACTGGGAGGGCACTGGGGGGGGCTCAGGTGTCCCACAACAACGTGGCCCAGCTCCAGGAGAGATCTGGGGAGCAGTGAGGAGGTACTGGTCTGTTCTGGTCTGTACCCCCAGTCCCCAAAGCCCCTCCCCAGCTCCCCCAGGACTCTCCCGGACCCCAAAGCCCCCCAGACTCCCCCCAGGCCCCTGAGTTGGTCCTGCTGCCCCTTGAGCATCTGCAGCTCCTGCAGAACCAGGCATTTCATCAGCAAATGTGCAGGTGACACCAAACTGGGGGGTGTGTTGATGTGCTGGAAGGCAGGAGGGCTCTGCAGAGGGACCTGGCCCAGCTGGATCCATGGGCTGATTGCAAGGGGATGAGGTTCCAGCAGGCCAAGGGCCGGGTCCTGCCCTTTGGGCACAAGAAGCCCCGTCAGGGCTGGGGCCAGAGTGTCTGGAGAGCAGGCAGGCAGAAAGGGAGCTGGGAGTGTGGATGGACAGGAAGCTGAAGAGGAGGCAGAGTGTGGCCAGGTGGCCAAGAGGGCCAATGGCTGGTGTCCTGTGTGAGGAAGAGTGTGTCAGCAGGAGCAGGGAAGTGATTGTTGGGCTGGACTGAGCGCTGGTGAGGCCACCCCTGGAGTGCTGTGTCCAGCTCTGGGCCCCTGAGTTGAGGAAGGCCCTGGAGGGGCTGGAGCAGGTGCAGAGAAGAGCAGCGAGGCTGGGGAAGGGAGTGGAGCCCAAGTGGTGTGAGGAGAGGCTGAGGGAGCTGGGGGTGTTGAGGCTGGAGAAGAGGAGGCTCAGGGGAGACCTCCTGACTGTCTGCAAGTCCCTGCCAGGAGGTTGTGGCTAGGTGGGGCTGGGGCTGTTCTGCCAGGAAGCAGCAGTAGGACAAGAGGGCTGGGTCTTGAGCTGTGCCAGGGGAGGTTTAGGTTGGATATTGGGAAGCAATTTTTTCCCAAGAGAGCACTCAGGCCTTGGAATGGGCTGGGCAGGGAGGGGGTTGAGTCAGCATCCCTGGAGGTGTTGAAGGTGAGAGTGGATGTGGCCTCAGTGCCATGGTCTGGGAAGCACAGCGGGGTTGGATCAAGGGTTGGACTTGATGATCTCGGAGGTCTTTTCCAACGTGGCTGATTCTGTGATTCTGTGATTGCCATTCCTATGGCAGCACATGCTTGAGGCTCTATCCCCAGGGTGATAGAGATGTCTGTCCATATCTATCTCCAAGGTTAGTCTGTAAATGTGTGGTGTTAGAAAAGCAGGCTGAGTTCTGGGCTGGTTGTAGGAGAAAGAAGCCCAGAGGCCAGTGCAAGCAGGCAGCCCTCAGCTTGCACCTGATGTCCCCTCCCTGCAGGTTCCTGTCCTTGAGCCCAGGCCCTGAGGTGATGCTGAGAATAAGTGCAAGGCAGAGGTACTGCTGAGGAGGGACAACCCCGTGAGTGCCCAGGAGAAGCTGTGAATGCCCATCCCCGAGCAGGTGCTGTGTCCATCCCCTGTGTGCCAGGTGAGCTGGGGCTTTGCTGCAGAGCTGCGGGTGCTGATTTGAGCGTCTCCAAGTGCTGAGATGGTGGGCACCCAGGAACACAAACTGTGCCTGGCCACGGAGCCTGCAAGGAGGAGCAGAGACAGCGGTGTCAGTGTGGGGGGCCAGGTTGTCCCTGTGCCTTCCCCTGCAGGCCCTGGCTGTCCCTGCTGGGCCCCTGTCCATCCCCATCAGGTCCCTGCCCGTCCCCCCGGGCTGAGCTCCCCCCAGGAAGTGCCGTGGAGCTGAAGCTGCTGCCATCCCCCCCTGCAGCCGCTGCCCCAGCCAAGGGAGCAGCAAAGGCAGGGCCAGGAGCAGAGGCAGCAGCAGGGGAGCCCTGGGGGGCCGGGAAGCTCTTGTGTGGGTCAGGAAAGAGGCGCTGGGCACGAGGCCGGGGCTGTGCTGAGCAGGCCCAGCCCTCACATCCCCCCAGCCAACGCCGGCTGCCCGGGGGGCTTGGGAGGGACCCCCGGCCCGTGTGCCCCACACTGAGCTGGCAGAGAGAGAGCCAAGGGACAGGGCCACGGGCAGGGCCACGGGTGAGGGACAGGCAGGGCCATTGCAGGGCCACAGTGAGGGCACAGCCTGTGGCAGCAGAGCTGCCCAGGGCCGGGGGCAGCCGGGGGTGTTGGTACCAGGCAGTTGTGGGGCCGAGCAGAGCACGAGGCCTCTTGCAGAGCCCTGGAGCAGCCTCCCACTTGCCAGCCCTGGCCTGGTGGGGTGACACTGTCCCCTTCCTACAGAACACTCCCCCAGAACTCTTTGGGGGGGCCTTTTGTGTCTATTCCTGGTTGCTGATTCCTGCTGGGGACCTGAGGACCCCTCTGCAATCCCATGCATGGGGCACAATCTCCTCTGCAGAGCTTGACTCACTGCAGACTTTGCAGGGAAATCTGTCCTGGCAGCTGCGTCCTGAGCCTGAGGGCAGTTTGTATGATCCATCCTGGGCACCCAAGGGATCCTGTGCCCTTGACTCCCTGCCATCTCTCTGTTTGGGAGAAGCCAGATGCTGCCCCTGGGCCATCAGAAGTGGTGCTGAAGCCTCTTTCAGCCCAGCCCTGGGTGCAGTTTTCTCATCCCCTCACCAAGTGCCCGCTCCCCCAGCCGGCACTGACCAACCAGGGCGTTTGGCACACTTGGTTTGGTGGTTTGGAGAAACAGCCCCAGACTGGCAGGGGGCCAGAAAACCTCGAGGAACAGCCCTGGCGAGTTTTAAGTGACACTACATTAATACAGCTTTTGGTTAATATATAGCAACTCAATCAAGTGCTCATGAAATCACCTCACTCCTCTCATCCCCCCAATTAAACACCATGTTTTTGGACTGAATCTTCATATTTTGGAGAATTTTCTGGCTAAACTTCAACTTTTTGGAGTTTGAGGGGGGTTCATCTTGCTATTTCTGAGGGTTTTTTTGCCTGAATCTCCTTGACTTGGGTTTTTCTGGGCTGAATCTTGGTGTTTTGGAGGTTTTTATGGACACAGGATGCCTGATGAGTTCTAGAGATGGACTTGGGCAGGAGGAACCCCCAAGCCAACGCACTCAGCCCTTGTTTTCCCCCCCATCAGGATTTGTCCTTCCCAAAGCTTGGGCGGATGGAGGAGGAGGCTGCGAGGAAGAGGAAGATGCCTTGGTCCCCCCAGGCAGGTGAGGAGGAAGTCAGTGTCCCTTTGGGCGGGTGTTGTGCTGGCTCTGTCAGCCGAGCATGGCCCCGGCTGCAGGACAACCCCGCTGGCGCCGCCGTCCTGCCGGGGCCGGAGTTGGGGGGATGTCCTTGGCCTTCCCTGTGGGCCGGAGGCAAATCCCCTGCCTGTCCTTCTTGCTTCCTGCCCCAGGCCCCGAGGTGAGGACGGAGAGCCCGGAGGACAAATCCCCCCGTGAGACCCTGGTGGGAGAGGCCGTTTTGAAGGGCTCCCCGGCGCAGGAAGGCAGCGGGGAGGAAAAGGGCCGGAGATCCCCCCGCAGGAGGGGCTCCAAAGCCATCCCAGGGTGCTCTGAGGAGGAAAGAGCCAGCCTGTACCGGGAAGGTGGCCGGAGCTTGAGGAAGAGCTCTGACTTGGTGGTCCCTGAGCAGCCTCCCAGCAGAGAGAAACCCTTCAAGTGCTTGGAATGTGGGAAGAGCTTCAGACAGAGCTCCAGCCTCCTCAGCCACCAGCACATCCACACTGGGGAACGGCCCTACACGTGTGGGGAATGTGGGAAGAGCTTCGGTGACAGGTCCACTCTCCACACCCACCAGCGCATCCACACTGGTGAACGGCCCTACATGTGTGGGGATTGTGGGAAGAGCTTCGGGAACAGCTCCCACCTCCGCACCCACCAGCGCATCCACACTGAGGAACGTCCCTACACGTGTGGGGAATGTGGGAAGAGTTTCAGGCACAGCTCCACCCTTCGCACCCACCAGCGAATCCACACTGGGGAACTGCCCTACACGTGTGGGGAATGTGGGAAGAGCTTCAACCAGAGCTCCGGCCTCCGCACCCACCAGCGCATCCACAGCAGGGAGAGGCCCTACAAGTGTGGGGAGTGTGGGAAGAGCTTCAGCCAGAGCTCCACCCTGTACACCCACCAGCGTATCCACTCTGGGGAACGGCCCTACAAGTGCTCAGAATGTGGGAAAAGGTTTAAAATCAGCTCACATCTCCTCCTGCATGAGCGGACACACACTGATGAGAGGCCCTTCCGCTGCACCGACTGCGGGAAGGGCTTCAAGCAGAACTCCACTCTTGTCACCCACCGGCACATCCACACTGGAGAGAGGCCCTACAAGTGTGGGGAGTGTGGGAAGAGCTTCACCCATAGCTCCAACCTCCGCATCCACCAGCTCATCCACACCATGGAACGGCCCTACAAGTGTGGGGAGTGTGGGAAGAGGTTTCAGACCAGCTCAGATCTCCTCGTGCATGAACGGACGCACACGGATGAGAGGCCCTTCCGCTGCACCGACTGCGGGAAGGGCTTCAGGCAGAACTCCCACCTTGTCACCCACCGACGCATCCACACCGGTGAGAGGCCCTACAAGTGTGGGGAGTGTGGGAAGAGCTACACCCAGAGGTCTGGCTTGACCAGACACCAACAGACCCACCAGTAAGGGAAGCCCTATTAGTGCCCTGACTGCGGGAAGTGCTTTGGCCGCTGCTTCCACCCCGAATGAAGCCCCTGATGGTGAGGCAACCCCTGGAGTCCAGTGACTGTCAGTCCATCCCTTTCGACCACAAAGGGCCAGTCCCCTTTCCCAGGGGCAGGTTCTTCCAACAGAACCCTTCTTGGGGGTTGTGTGGAGATTCCTGCCTTGGCTGGGGACCCCCCAAGGTCACTGCTGGAGGTTGAGAGCAGAGATCTCCCCACCAGCATTGGTCTGGGGGAGTTCCATCCATCTCTAATTAAGAATTATTGCTTTTGTGCCAGCTTGAGTAGAATTGCTTCAACAATTGCTTTAGTGTAGAGCACTGTCCTATCTTGTCCTGTACTCTTGGTAGTTTTAGTGTTTCTGTTGTGCAGTAAATAATTCTGATGAAGATCTTTTGTCTGATCACTTATAACTGATGCCTTAAGCCCCTATTAGCTTTTATTTTTCTAATTTTTGTAAGCCTTATAAGTTTTATAAGTAGTAGAAGTAGATTTTCAAAGCAGCAGCCCTCACTCCCTTTCCCTGTAGTACAAATATTTTACACATTCCTTAACCCTCTTACCCCATTCTATGCTCCCCATATCAAATCTACCCCTGAATTCAGTAGCAGTGTTTAGTCTCTTGTCAAGGCAAGGCCTATGCTGTTTAGAGAGCACCCATATCAGGGCCTGAATAACAAAACAGAGTCAAGAACTAGGTGACTATGTACCCTTTGCGCTCTGAAGATGGTGAAGATGATGAAGGAAAGGCCCCCAGACCCTATTCTCAGGGGGTGGACCCGGGGCGGATCAGAGCAAAGGCTACAGGGTGGATACATTTGGGATTGGACGGATGGTATTATAAAATGTAACATCTCGGGCACAGAGGTGCGCCTCGTGTAACACCTATTGCCTTGGCAGAATTAAACCCTTTCCTTATCTCACCCCTGATCAACTGCTCCTGAGTTGTTTTTTAGCATCAACATTCCACGGCATCATAACCCTAAATAAATTCATTTCTATCAGTAGATCTGATTTGCCATCCTTAAAACCTGGGGGACAAAAGTGGTTCAGTCACACCTCTGTAATTCCTCTAAATATAAAATGTTGGCAAGATTCAAAGCTGAGATTGGATCCAGCAGCCCCCAGCACCCCACAGTAAGTTGGGAGCTCAGGGGAACCACTCCCTTTCCCAAAACCCTGTTTCCAAAAAGACCCCCATGTGACTGCTGGACTCACCAGACCACCCTTCCTTTTCCACCCTTCTTCCTGTTCTTTCCACTTTTCGGTGGTCCCCTCTATCCCCAGCCCAACCAGGATCACTTTTGGGGTCCCAACCCCCACTTTTTGCCCCACTTCCCACCCCTTCCACATCATCCCCCCACTCCCCAGCCCCCTCATGCTCAGTTTGGGGGTCCCACCCTCCCCTTTCCCACTCTTCTGACCTCTCCCACCCATTTCCCATTATCCCCCAAACCTCAGTGCCCCTCCCCCTCCACTTTTGGGGGGTCCCACTCCCCTCCCACTCAGTTTGGGGTCCCACCACCCCTTCTGTCCCCTCTGACCCCCCTTTTCCCACTGACCACCCCCTTCCCACCCCCCGCTCACCCGAGAGCTCCTCGCCCGCAGCTGGGAGGGCTCCCAGCACCACCAGTGCCCAGAGAAGTCCCCCCAGAGAAGGGGTTGGGTGGGGTCCTGGGTGACCTCTGAGTATGTTTGGGGCTCCTTGAGGGGCTGTGGGGAGGTTTTGGGGAAGTTCCCAGCACCTTTTGGGGTGAGCTGGGTGGTTTATTGAGGGGCAGGTGCCCTCCCAAAGCCCCTCCAGAGCGGGTTGACACAGGGGGGACACAGGGAGGTCCCCATTCTTGATCCATCCCGGGGCTGGTTCTGCCCCCCCCAAACTCGGCTCCACCGCACGGAGACCCTCCAAGCCCCTCCCCCACTGCCCCCCAATAACCAGGACTGGGGAGAACTGGGAAGCTTTACTGGGATCACTGGGAGCAGCCGGGTGGTGTCAGAATAAAAGCAGGGGAGAGGGGGACTCACGACCCCCCCAAAATCCTCACAGGGACAGGGGGGGTCCAGGCTGGGCCCTAGTTCCCGGGGAGGGGCTGCGGCCGCCGCCGGCTCAGGAGCTCTGTGGGGAGAGAAAAGGGGGTGACACCGGGGTGGGGGGTCCCCGGGGGGGCACAGACGCTCTGGGGGGACACACGACCCCCTGGGACCCCCCTCACCTTCTGGCGCAGGTAGAAGCCGAGCCCCAGCGCCAGGGAGACGAAGGCCAAGAGGAAGCCCCCGGCCCCTCCTTGGCAGCAATTGCTGAGGCTGATGGAGCCCGGCAGGGCCGGGGCCGCCGGCGGTGTCCGATCCCGGCAGGAAGCGGGGAGGGCCCGGCCGTGTCTGATAGAAATAAATCAAGGCAGATCTCTCTCTTTCTTTTCCCCCCTGGGCAGTGACCATCAAGAGCTGTCCCTGCTTCACAGCAGAAGCTCCACACACTTCAACAAAGTCTGTGGAAGAATCTGCTCTAGGAAAGTTGGCCCTGGGCTTTTATGCTTATCCAGTGATGGATCTCCAGTCACATATTCCCAGGCCAGTAAGCAGCTGATCTGTCAAACTCTGCTTCCAAAAGCAGGATGTGTGTTGCAAGGCTGGGGAACCAGGCTGGTTTTAGCACAATTCAACACTAAACCAACCCCTTGGCACCAGCAGTAACTCCCCACAGAGAGCTTGCATTGCTTGCATTCTCTGATGAGATTCTTTTCCAGGTAGAACATCCTGCTACAAGGGGTCTGTTACCACCCGCCTGAGAAAGGGGGGGGTAACCAGGTTCTTATTAATAAATCCCTTGGGGTGGATTAGAGTGAAACGATACTGAATAATTGGTGTTTGAAAACATATATATGTAGGGTTTATTTTAGAACAATTTTGTTTCAAAGGTAAACAGGTATGTTGCCATTTTGGGTGTTATCATCTGTATCTCTCATCTACAGCAATATGGCATAAAGAGAACCTTTAGGGAAAATGCATAAGGGAAAGACAGGATAAGGGTAAGGGAGAGTAAAGGAAAGCAAAGCTGAGAGTGGAAAGCTGTCTATAGTCACCACCCACGGGGTCCAGAGATGGAACTTGGGAGTTGCAGCTCCAATGTCTGTCAGTTGAAGTGGTGACCTTGATCCACTGGGGGTGGGGGAGGGAAGCCCCCAGACTCCAAGAAGTTATGAGTTATTATATCCATGGATGGTGTCCCGGGCCATGCCTTGAGCCTCCAAGGTCTGCTGGGCCTGCGCAGAGTTCCCGTGAGGGGCCTGGTAAACACGTCTCTTCTCGCCTTTTCAGGGCTTGACACCTTCAGCAGCACTGGCAGGGGGGATGGGTCCAGCTGCCTCTTCCCAGCCTGCAGAAGTCCCCTGGCAATCCCAGAATGCATAAATCATTGTGGCAGTTTGAGATCCTCAAAAATCCAATTTCCAAGTCCAAGCCCCCCCCCAATTTGTTTCAGTGTGAGACGGTTTTCAGACAAAACACAACTCAGTATGGGGGGAAAGGAATTATATTACAGTTTATTACTTACACAAATAAATACTATAATACATTATATACACAATTCTAACTATCTCTCCTATGGTAAAGCAATATATTTACATTAGATCAAATCCCTCCTTTCCCTCCAATAAAAGTTCAGAAGGGAAGAAGAAAAGATCCTTTCGACTTTCAGAGCAGCAGTGTCTCTCCTCTTCAAGGCAGCAGTCGTAGCCGGATTTGTTGTAGCTGGAAAATCTCTCTCTCCATTACAACACAGGGTCTTCTCTCACCCCTTGGCCCTTCGGCTCCAGCCCAAGGTCTCTCTCCCGTGGACTGCAAAAGCAGGGACAAGGCTCACCTCTCCACAGTCATATCACGGGGTACTGGGCACCCCTGACAGTCCCTTCCTCAGGGGATTCAAGTTCCTCCTGAGTCAGAACGTTTAGGGCTTTCAGTTCAGTTTTTGCCCCAAGTGTTCTAGCAGAGCTCCTTTGCTCCGTCTCAAACTGTCAGCATGGCGAAGGGGGGCAGGAAGGCCTCTTCCCCCCTCCACATTCCTCCTGGCTGTCCTGGTCCAGCTCCAGGACATCTCTGAGCTTCTCAGCCTCTCTCTCTCTCTAGTTGCTGCTGCATTTCAGGACTCCCTTCAAGTGGAAATCCACCCCCTCCATCCAAGAGGGGTCTCAAAGGGTTCGGAGAAATAAAGTCTCTGCTGAACCTGGTGCTCTGTCTCTCCGTCGGGCTGCTGATTGGGTCAACACCAAGAACCTCCTGGGGTCAACCACTTTCCAACTCCAGGGGAAAACCCTTTTTAACCCAGGACAGTCATGAACCATTTCAGTCTCTGACACTCCTCACCTTGGCCAGTCAGTTCCTGGGAACAGCCCTGGCAGTGCAGCCCCCAAGGGCACACGATGTGCTGCTGGGCTGGAGAGGACCCTCCTCAGCCTGGGCAGCAGGGCTGCAGGGGGGGAATTCCCTGACCCTCCCCAGATGGGCCCTTCCTACCCACCAGCTCCTGCTCCAAAGGGCTCCCACACAGCCTGGGGCACTTGTCCCACTTGGGCACTGGAGCTGCCCCAGGGCATCTCTGGGCAGTGGCCAGCTCTGGGACTGCTCTGGCAAGTCATGGCCTGAAGCCACGAGTGTGGAATTTAGGAGGTAGTTGAAATCTCTGCAGAACAGAACTCTTGGTGACTGCTGAAGGCTTCATGAACAGCATTGCCACATCTTTTCTTTTTTTTAAATTCATCAATTTTTTGTAGGCGAACACCAGGACTGTGAGACTTGGAAAGAGCAGCTTTAGACACGAGCCCGCTGCAGCAGCGACTTCCGGGATCGAGCAAAGCAGAAAAACAACGGCCACTTGTGTTATTTATTGTAGGGGTTGCCCCCCCTGAGCTGTGTATTTTTCCCGACCCACGGGGGTCCCGGGGGTCAGCCATGATGTTGCCTGAAAGCTGGGACTGCTCAGGGCTGGAGCGTGGCCCCAGCACAGCCTCTCCCACAGAAGGACAGGGCAGAGGGGCTCTGGGCTGTGGGCAGCGAGGGCCAGCTGGGCTGGCAGGAGGCAG